AAGTACAAAATTTTAAAAATATATTTGTTATTTAATAATCTTTATTTCAAGTTGTGAAATAATCTGTAGTTTAAATTTTGACGTTTTTGCTGATTAAATAAGTATAATTTGACCAAAAATTTGTCAAAATATGTGTATTTAGATTTGTATTAATTTTACTTAATTTTTACTATTTCAAGATTTATGATCTTTTTTATTTGTTTGATACTAAGTTATAATTTATATGACATCTTTAAATAACTTAGTAGTAAAATATTTGTAACATATATAATATTAGTAAAAATAAATAAATAATAAAATTATTTTCATATAATTTGCTTGCAGAATTCTTTGAAAGTACAGAATTTTGCTTAATTTTAGCCAAATCATAAAAATAATAAATTGAATTAAATTTATTTTAAAATTCTTAGTTTTTTACCCATATATGGCAACTTTGATTTTTGCACTGTGTGGCCTACAGGCGAGTTGCTGTTATAAAATTCAAAGAAATTTCGAGAAAATTATATGAAAATACTTAACAATTTATATATCAGTTTATTCGTAATTTTATTCTGCATCTTTAATTTTTTCTAAATTTTTTTCGTATCTTTTACGGTTTAGCCTGTATTATGGATTTTGTGTGAATATTCTCTTGTTGAAAAGCAAAGTGCGGTTAGGTTTGAGTAACAATCCACATTATTCGATATTTCTTTAAAGAAAACATATAAAGAATTATACATCGTTAGAAAGGTCTTAAAATTCTTAGTTTTTTCCCAAATATTGCAACTACAAATTCTTAACGGTGTGGCCTATAGGCGAGTTGCAGTTGTAAAATTCAAGAAAAACTCGAGAAAATTATATGAACATACTTAACGATTTATATATCATTTTATTCGTAATTTTATCACTATTCGATATTTCTCTAAAGAAACCATATAAAGTATTATACATCGTTAGAAAAGTCTTAAAATTCTTAGTTTTTTTCCCATATATTACAACTTTGTATTCTACACAGTGTGGCCTACAGGCGAGTTGCCATTGAAAAATTCAAGGAAAACTACAAAATCTCGAGTGAATTATATGAACACACATAACGATTTATATATCATTTTATTCGTAATTTTATTACTTTTCGATATTTATCTAAAGAAAACATATAGAATATTATACATCGTTTGAAAGGTCTAAAAATTCTTTGTTTTTTTCCTATATATCGCAAACTTTGTATTCCCAAAGGTGTGGCCTACAGGCGAGTTGCAGTGGTAAAATTCAAGAAAAACTAGAAAATCTCGAGTAAATTATATGAACACACTTAACGATCTATATATAATTTTATTCGTAATTTTATTCGGCATATTTTATATAAATAACATTTTTTTGTATCTTATACCCTTCAAGAGAAAAACTGATATTATACTTGAATTTTGTACAAATTTTCAACTGCCAAATTATAAAAAAAACAAAAATTGAAGGAAACTTCATATTAATTTTATTATATGTGCTATGCACTTATTTTGAAAGTAATTTAATTTATTTTTCTTTTGGTATTACAAAATTATTCATTATTACTTTGTTTAATTTATTTTGAAATTTATTGAAAAAAAATAAAAACTCTGATATAAAAGTTTGGAATAAAACTACTTTGAATTCGATTTTATATTCTTTAGGATTTAATAGAAATTTTGGGACATTTTTTTAGTTTTTGTCAAATAACTTACAAATATCAAGGAAAAGCATCCGTTTTCAGTTAAATAGGGAAAAACTAGATAAAATTGACTACGATTCTATGCCAACAGTTATATACACTCAGTTTTGAAATAAAATTAAAAATTTTAACAGTTTTCATTCAAAAATACGTATTGATAAATAATATATCAAAAATAGTTTATAATAATAAAAAATAATGGTTTCATCACATATTATAAAACTTACAAATTTACAAATTTATTAAATAATGAACTAAATTATTTAATCATTATACATTTACTATATGACTGAATTTAATCTGAAACAAAAATATAATAATATCTAGTAGTTTGTCATAAAAACAAAACACAAATTATACGTGAAATTTTTATTTGACAAAATTTCACAAAAATTTTTTAGCATCAATTCTCCAAATTAAATTTTAAACAGACAATTAAAATAAATTACAATACAAAATCAAAATGATGTGGATAAGCATCATAGTAATATTATATTAAAATTAAAAAAAAAATGAAAAAATTCATGCAAGAAAATTTGGAGTAAAAAATGAATCAAGAGGCAAAGAAAAAACAAGGTACAATATTTAAAAAAAATATGTCAAGGAAACATTACAGCTTTTTAGCAAAATATCTATTACATAATTTATTAGCTGCAGATCATTTGGTCCATCAGATAATATTTATCAAAATATTGATTTGTCTAATTTTTACTCTGGCTTTCTGTCTTGACCATCCAGTATTTTTTGGATAAAGTTTTAGACAAATCCTGAATGGTTACGTCATAATTATGATGTCAACAGTACTTTGGTTGAAGAAAATTATTGTTTCAACTTGACATCAGGAACAAATTTTTGGGATGCAAAATTATATACAGTTTGACGTCTTGTTTTTTCACCAAAGTCCATCAAAATCTTCCGACAGAGACGAAGAGAGGAATTAGTATTATAAAAATTTATGAACATAATCGTTTTACCAGCAATGTATCTAAGTCCATCAAAATCTTCTCAGAGAGGCAATTTACCAAATTTTGTTCTCCTTAGTGGAACATCCAGAAGTCCAGAAGTTTTTTTGAATAAATTTATTTACCAATGTTTCTGCTATTCAAAAAAAAGACGAGCTTCCAGAAAACTTCCACCAGGTTTAAGAAATTCTAGCAAGATTTAGTTTTTGCAGACAAAGATTCTTCAGGCATATCAATTTCTTCAATGGTTTGTCTACAAATTTTGGTTCAACATTCAAAAGTCTACAAAAATTTGTTACAATTCTTGATTTATAATTATGATAGATGGACACCAGTAACAGAAAATGGATGCATTTGGATTATTTTCAATTGATAAATAGATAATTTTTCACAATTTCCATTATAGATGTACCAGCAATCTTACAATTTCAGAAACAACTTACATAATTTTCTCGTTGGTTTCTGAAAAGGGTTGGGAAATTCTGGTAAATAAAAATCTCTGTGAAAAAATTGGCCAAGAAGAATCTTGACATAGAACCAGTACTGATGATCTTTTATGTCTTTTTATAACTTTGGCATTATCAGAATTCAAAGGAACTTGCACACATTTTTTGAATGTTCCATTCAGTATTGTAGAAGTTTCAAGACCAAGTTAGAAGAAACTATTAGGTCCACAAAATTTTGCAATCATCCAAACTTTAGAAATGAAAAAGAAACAAATCCTTGGAACTGGTTGTCATCCTATACTTCCAGGTGATGTCAATTTTTTAAAGTAAAGTTGTACCAAAAACTTAATAATTTCTGACTGGAATTCAAGTCATCTATCTACATCCTCAATTTTGTTTTTGTCATCTAAATTTTGTTTGCAATCATGTGAGCTCTAATTTGGTTCAAAAGTTAGGACAACTTTATTTAATGTGGTTATCAGATGCAGAAATCCTTGGAAGTGAATGCTATAACCAATATTTCATTTTTTTGAATGGATTCCAAGAACATCCTTCTGCAAAAACAACTTGCTCAATTTTTGTACAGGTTTTCTGCAAATCCAGAATTGGTCGAATTGAAGACAAAATATCCTTTAAATTTGTCTTTATTTTGTCCAAAAGTAATGGAAAATTGAGTGAAGATCATCATCATCATTCAGGAAAGACTTTTGGGACTATAATAATGATGATTACGTGTTTTTTTGGCAATATAAGAAAACGAAAGCCTTAATAATACTTTGGATAATGGCAATTGGTTTTCTTGATCTTCTCTCTTGCAATATCCAGAAGATTTCAGAGATTTTGTTGGACAAGAAATTTTACCAATTGGTGAAGATTTGTTTCGAACTCTTCAACATCTGACGAAGATGACCATGATTTAGTTCAAGAGTAGTACCAAGAAAATTAGATATCAGGGAAAAAGTTTTTTTTCTTGGTCTCATTCTTGAAATATCTATCCTTCTGCAAATCCAGAATTGGTGCAAGTTGAAGACAAAATATCCTTTAAATTTGTCTTTATTTTGTCCAAAAGTAATGACAAATCTAATAAAGACCATCATCATCACACAGAAAAGACTTTTGGGACTATAATAATGATGATTACTTGTTTTTTTTTTGGCAGAAATTTGGCAATATAAGAAAACTAAAGCCCAAAAATTCTTTGGATGATGGCAATTGGTTTTTTTGATATCCTTTTTTGAATATCCAGAACTTTTTAGACAATTTGTTGATCAAAAATCTTCACTAACGAAGGAACTTTGTTGAAATTTTTATGGTGCAGATTTCCTGAAGTTCTCAAACATTTTTTTGACCAAGAAATTTCACCAATAAAAGATTTTTGGTGAAGATTTCTTTGGAACTTTGTCAACATCTGAAGAAGATGACCAAGATTTAGTTCAAGAATAGTACCAAGAAAATTAAACATTAAAGAAAAAGTTTTTTCTTGGTCTCATTCTTGAAATATCTAGAATTGCAAACACTCTGTTGGACAAAAATCTTCACCAATAAAACAACTTTGGTGAAGATGATTTTTGTGAAGATTTCTATTGACCTTTAGCAAGATTTGTACCAGTAACAGTAGACACCAGGAAAAAAAATTTAGATTTCAATCTTACATCCAATGGAGCCAACATTGAATGTACAGATGATCCTCAATGTCCTGTATTTTATCAGTAACTTTCAACAGAATCAATACAAAAATCTTCACCAATCTTCAGAAGTAGTTGCAAATCAAGTTAAATTGGACACCAGGAAAAAAATCATTTGTTCTCAATCTGATAATCTCTAATGTCCTGATTTTTTACCAGCAACTTTTGACTAATTTTTGGTAGAATTATACAAAAATCTTCAGCAAAGTTGGAGTAACTCAAGATGGATAAACATGAAGGTACAACTTCAATTCACAAATTTAACTTTGTCTTCATCTTGGTCAAAAGTAATTGCAAGTTTGAGTAAAATTTGACATGAACAAGCAAATTATTGGATTATGCAATTGAAGATACTGATAATCCTTAATGTCCTGATTTTTTGTTCAACAACTTTTGACCAAATCTGCAAAAATTTTCACCAGTTGCAATTCAAGTTGGAGGAAGTTGAAGGCAAAATATCCAATTAACTTTGTCTTCATCCTGGTCAAAAATTTCAAGAAATGGAGTAAATTGAATAAGAAATTAGATTATACAGTTATTCTCAATGACTCCATATTGATGATACTGATAATCTTTAATGTCTTGATTTTTCCAGCAACTTTTGACTAGATTTCTTGCAGAATTATACAAAAATCTTCAGCAAAGTTGGAGTAACTCAAGATGGATAAAAATGAAGGTACAACTTCAATTCACAAATTTAACTTTGTCTTCATCTTGGTCAAAAAAAATGACAATTTGAGAAAAATTTGACATGGAGAATCAAATTACTGGATTATGTAATTGAAGATACTGGTAATCCTTAATGTCCTGATTTTTTACCAGTAACTTTTGACCAACTCTGCAAAAATATTCACAAATGTTGCAGTAATTCAAGTTGGAGGAAGTACAAGGAAAAATTTCATGTTAACTTTGTCTTCATCTTGGTCAAAAATATTAGAAATTGGTGTAAATTGAATAAGAAATTAGATTATACAATTATTCTTGGTCAGACAGGATGGCAAATCAAGTAGAACTGGGCATCAGAAAAAAATTCTTAGGATTAAAAAGTTATTCTCAATGGTGCGAACATTGAGGATAGTAATAATCCCTAATGTCTTAATTTTTCCAGCAACTTTTGTCTAATTTCTGCCAGAATTTTACAAAAATCGTTACCAATATTGCTGTAATTTACTTTGGAGAATATAGAAAGGACATAATCCTTTCAACTTGGCATTCTACATCTCTAGAAGTAATGGGAAATCAAGTAAAGCTGGACATCAGAAAAAAATCTTGATAATGATTATGAAGTAATTCTCGTAAGATTTTGTATGATAATCCCTGATGTCTTGATTTTTTTCCAGCAACTTTTGACTAACTTCTAGTCGAATTCAACAAAAAATTTATTCAAATATTGCTGCAATTCACTTTGGAGTATATTGATGAGACTATATCCATTCAACTTGGCATTCTACATCTTTAGAAGTAATGGGGAATCAAGTAAAACTGCACATCAGAAAAAAAACCTGGATTATGATTATGAAGTCATTTTCAATTGAGGATACTGATAATCTCTAATATCTTAATTTTTCCAGCAACTTTTGACTAATTTCCGCCAGAACTTTACAAAAATCTTCAACCATATTGCTCCAATTCACTTTGGAGAATATTGAAAAAACATAATCCTTTCAACTTGGCATTCTACATCTTTAGAAGTAATGGAAAATCAAGTAAAACTGGACATCAAAAAAAAATCTTGATTATGATTATGAAGAAATTCTCGTAAGATTTTGTATGATAATCCCTGATGTCCTGATTTTTTCCAGCATTTTTCAACTATTTTCTGGTAGAATTCAACAAAAATCTTGACCAATATTGCTGCAATTCACTTTGGAGAATATTGAATAGACATAATCCTTTCAACTTGCCATTCTACATCTTTAGAAATAATGGAAAATCAAGTAAAACTGGACATCAGAAAAAAAATCTTGATAATGATTATGAAGTAATTCTCAATTGAGGATACTGATATTCCCTAATGTTTTGATTTTTTCATCAACTTTTAGCTAACTTCTGGTAGAATTCAACAAAAATCGTGACCAATATTGCTGCAATTCACTTTAGAAAATATTGGAGAGACTATATCCATTCAACTTGACATTCTACATCTTTAGAAATAACAGGAAATTAGGTAAATTGGATATCAAATTGGATTATAAAATTATTTTCAATGCCCCAACATTGAAGATACCGATAATCCCTCCATGTCCTTTTTTTAACAGAGTTTTCTAGATTTCAGAGATCAACAAATCAAACAATTTCTTTCCAGCTTGCCCAATTTTTGGACTAGGTTTTTTGGATATAGCATCATACTGAATCAGAAATTTGTCTAAAAAACTGTGTCATCCAAGAATCCTTCAGAAATACTAAAAGAAAAATGTCCTGTAATTCTTTAGATATACCTCATTTTCTTGTTTTTCAATAAGGATACCACAATTTTTCATCAGGTGTTGATGATGGAATTTTGGAATAATTCCAAGAATTGTCTGAATACTTCCAAGAATTTTTGGTACTATTAAACAGGATTTTGGAATGTCGTCGGTTTTTTGTAAAACATAAAAATGAACCTTAAAGTCCTGCCTTTTGGCAACCAATATTCCAACCTTGATTCACCCTGAAGAAATTATTTTTGCAGAAGAACTTTTCTTGGCCGAAATTTTTGGTTAAAAAAAATTGACAAGATGATACAAGTAAATGTAACTTCTTTTTTATCACGGAACAGTTTCGAATAATTGTCTTTCATTTTTGAAATATCCAGGACTTCATAAGTTCTATCTAAAATTTTTGGTTCAAGCTATTGCATCATCTAATAAAACAGAATCTGGTCAACTATTTGTGGATAATACTCAAATGCTGAATGATGCACCAGCAAACTACAATTTTTTTTATCAAAATCCAACAAATTTTGGTAAAGTGCAAGATTTTGGTTCTTCTATTTCTGGAACACCCGACAATACTGTGAGAAAAATATTTTTTGGATTTTGTTACCAAAATTTTGGATTCTCTTCAGTTTTTTTGGTAATTTTGTACAAGATTTTGGTACCTCTATTTCTGGAACATTCAACAATACTGTGATCAAAAATAAAATCTTGAATTTTCATTTTCAAGCCAAGAATGTGGATTTTCTTCAGTTTTTTTTTATTTGTGTTATCCATGTTTTAGATTTTTTATAATTTCGGTAGGAGTTTTTATAAAACATGAAATTTTGTATTGGAAATCAGTATGATCCATGTATTTATTTATAAATAGTCCATTTTCCAAATTTGGATTTTATATCTTGATTTGTTCAAAGTATCAAGTTTGCAAAATTATTTATATTTTTTCCTGAAATACATAAATTTTGTTATAAAACTTTGTTTTTATTTAATATAATTTAATAGTAAAATTTATTTAATAAACTATGTTAAATTTTTAGAACTATTTTAAAAATTTATTTTATTTTAAAAATTATATAATTATGAATTATTTTAACAATATTTTTAAATAATTTGAATAATTAAATAATGAAACAATAATGACTTGTTTGTGAAAATATTTAAATAATTAATTTAATTCAGATAAATAAGTAACAAAAATAGTAAAAAATCATTATTTTATACGTATTTGTAAAATATTACAATTTTTTTATTTAATTAATTGACTTCATTTATTTAAAATAGTTAAAAAACATTTTATTAATAAGTCATTGAAATATGTTATAAGAAAAAATATAATTATGAATTATTTTCACAAAATTTAGATAAATTGAATAATTAAGTAATAAAGTAATAATGACTTATTTAAAAAACTTTTTATTTTTATTTAATAATTATTTTTTCTTTATTTATTCATACACTTTAATAAAAATATTTAAATAATTAATTCAATTTAAATAATTAGTTAAAAAACTAATTAAAAGCCATTATTTAATACATAATATGTATAAAATATTAAAAATATATATTTATTTTTTTGCATTTTAACAATAAGAATAAAAATAATAAAACATTTATCATTATTTTGACATTAAAGTAATAAAATTATAAGAAATCAGTTATTAATAAACTTAATCAAAATAGTTAAGAAATATTGTATTAATAATATTTAAATTTAAATTTAATTAATATTAATAATGAATTGAATTACGTTATTTAATTACGTAATGAAACAATACCAAATTATTTAAAAAATTAAATATAATGATAACAAATGATTTAACTGATTATTTTGTTTAGAATAATCGAGCAATTCAAATTAAATAGCTAAAAAATAATAAACTATTTAATTAATAATATAAATATTTAATTAATAATATATTATTTGGATGATTTTTAACTGAATAAAAAATGAAATAATAATAAATCATTCAAATATTTAATTTAATTTAAATAAAAAACAAGAGAGTAATAAAAAATATTTTAGTTCGAAAGTTTTTCAAATAAATATTCTATTTGACATAAAATCTTATTACTTTCTTATATTAAATATAAACTTATATTTTTTGTAATAATTAAGAAGAAATTAATGAGTTAGTATTAATACAAAACTAATAATTTTTATTTGATAAAAAATATTAAAAACAAAAATTTGTCTCAATATGTCAAATATATATATTTGACAGGTTCATATTTTTTTCTCTTAATTTTTATTCTATCTTAAATATTTAACTAATAATTTAAAAAATATACTTACTTTATTAAAAATCCTATATTTTCATTGTATTTAGTTCACTTTAATTTATACATGAGTTACTCTTAATAATTTTTAATTAACTACAATTTTGTAAAAGAAAATGTAACTTTAAGAATTTTGATTTACTCTGCGAAATATGCTTAAATTTATAAAGCTTTTCGATTGTTTTAGTATGTAAAACAGGTTGCTTTATAAATTTGATAAATAAAAATTTTATGTTGAAAAAAAAAACACTTGAAGAAAATTTGATGTTAATTTTATTATAAATGTTATGCACATATTTTGTATCAGTAATTTAGTTTAATTAAATATTAAAAATTAAAATGAATAATTATAATTTAATAAAAATAATTAAAAATTAAAATAAATACATTTTTTTGTAAAGAATAACAACACTGTGCTAAATTTAATTTAAACAATTTGTTAGATAACTATTTATAAACTAAACATAAAGCTTATATTGATAAAATAAAATATATAATTATGTAATAATGAATAGTAATAAAAATATGTCTGACATATAGTAAATATGTAAATGAAATTTTCTAAAAACAAATTTTGCTTAAATAAATTTTGTCACAAAATAAATACTAACTTATAATCACAAAGTATTTCTATTGAAATTATTATATTACCGATATTATATTAGAATAAAAGATAAATATTGATTTTTCGTCAAAAAAAATCAAGACCGTACTAAAGCTTAATAAATAACCCAACAAATTTTCTTATCTTTCGGATAACTATTTAAAAACTGAACATAAAGCTTGTATTGATGAAATTAATTAAATAATTACGTAATAATAAATAGTAATTAAAATAAAGATAGTTTTACTAATGAAATTGTTTCTAACATGAAATATATATGTAGATAAAATTTTATGTAAACAAATTATCAATTGTGCTCATTTATAATGAAATATTATATTAAAAAATAGCATTTAAAATTAAAAATAAAATAAAATAAATAAAATTTAAATAATTATTTTGTTTTGCATTTTTCAAGAGAAGATAATATTTGCAAGCAAATTATGATTTATTAGTATTCTGGTAGAGATAGTTTAGTTTTCTTTTAATAATTTTATTGAAAATAACAATAGTAAAAACTATCTTTGTAACAAAACTACAAGTATTTAGCATTTGTTTTGTACAAGATCTTATAGGTCAATAATGTACTTAATATACTACAGATCAAAATAGAATACATGGATGTCCCAAATAAATATTCTAATTATATTTATAAACTGTGACACAACTTTTAGCACTTGCAAAATACTTATAGATAATTATTTTTAGAAATAGTATATATATATATATATAAATATTTATAAAAATAGTTTATAAAATCGTCAATATTTTTATACAAGTTCCAATTTTATTCTAGCATCTTCAGATAACTTTATACAATAATATTTTCTATATAAATTTAAATAATTTCAAATAGATATATCAAATTTTCAATATAAATTTATACTGTAAATTTATTAATGTTTATTAATTTGGTCGACGAGTGTAAAATTGGTTAATTTATTTCATAATTTTGAACTTGAAAAATTTTTAAAAGTTCAAAATTTTATAATTTATAGAAAAAATCTTTTTTTTTTAATTTCTTGAAAATTGGGTAGTTGATTTTTCTTTAAATTTCGAAATATTCTCAAATTTTTGTAAGATATCGATTTTTTTTTAATTTTGATGTTTTTTAAAAATTTTCAAAAGTTAGATTTTTTGTTGAAAATTATGAAAAATTTCAAAAATTTGAATTTTTTGAAACGAATTAGTCGATTTTTCTTTAAATTTCGAAATATTCTCAAATTTTTGTAAGATCTCGATTTTTTCTAAATTTTGATAGTTTTTGAAATTTTTAAAAATTTGGATTTTTTTTTTATTCTGAAATATTTCGAACACTTGAATTTTTTGAAACTTTGAATTTCTAAATGTAAAATGAGTTGTTATTGTTAAACAGAAAAACTTAAAATTTATTAAGATTTATTGCTAATAAAATTGTATTGCAAACATTTATATTTTATTTTTACAATGATTTATATTATTGACCATATTTTATTAGCACATTCAATTGCAATTTAATAATTTTATAAAGGATAGATAAGGATTACTTTTTCAAGATATAAATAGAACTCGTAAAATTAAAAAAAAAAATTTAACAATATTTGAAAACCAAATAAAATGCCATATACAAAAAATTCTAGAATTTGTAGTTTAATCAGAAAACATTGTTTTAAATTGTCTAGGGTTTTTTGAATTATAAATATGCTGATTCTTTCTCTATTGGAGACTTTTACCGATGTAACAACTGTCACAATCTAAACAATTAATTTTATAAACGGAATCGGTGATTCTGTCAGAGGGAGATTTTAATTATAAGTAGAAAACAGGGAACTGAGTGTGTTATTAAAAGTAAAAACTAAAAGAAAACCTTCAACAGAAATTGTAAAGTTGTCTAGACTAGAATCTTGACTGACTGATTTTGTATTTTGATTCAAGTAATGATGTAATTTTCTTTGTTTTAGGTTATAGTTGGACACAAAATGGAAAAAACACCATCTCCAACTAGTACAACAATAGGTCCTTTTCCTGAATTCGGTCCTGCTCCACGAAATGTGGAGAGCTCTCCAGGACAAACCGCCCTGCTCCATTGTAATGTCAGGAATTTGGGAGACAGAACGGTAAGTAAAAAACTAGTTTCATAGGGATTTTTTTTTAATTTTATTGGCTTTTAAATTTTTGAAATTGGCCAAGATCGAGGATCGAACTAGATGAGAAACTTTGAGGAAAAATCAAATTTTGAATTTGAATTTTCTTTCAAAGTGTTTATAATATGTATGTAAATCCAAAAACGGTTTAATTTTTTTTCATCCGACTCATAGGGTTACTCTGTATTTTTTTCGAAATAATTTATTTGTCTGACTATGTCCATCTGAACAGATCCAGAAGGTAGATCTGTGGAATAATAATGATTTTCATTGTTCTAAAAGTCTGCGAATGCGTAATCCCGATTTATTTTTATGATTTTAATTAAAATCCATTCGGACGGATTGTGTGCTTGCATTTTGCAATTCTATGCAAACGGAGAAAGAATGATAATCTATATAGCAGGGGTTATAAAAGATTTTTGTTCTAGGGTCCACTATTGATTGATATGTTTAACAATATTGTGAATGGATAATATTTACATTATTTTATTTTTGTAAGTCATGAATCGCTTTAAAAGTCTATTGAAGTAAAACTTCTAAAGCGACAAAACAAGAGAATGTCAAAATCTAAATATTTTACACTCTTTGGAATTATTGATAAAAAAAGATCTTAAAATGTTCTACATAGTCTTGAAACCGATGCAGATAGTGTAAAAATATTTTAAGTAGTCTGAAAATATTCTTAATAGGATTGTCTTACAATATTCTAGATGCATTGTATAGGTTTCAGATAGTATGAAAATATTACGGATAATCTGATAATATGGAGATGTTCCAGATTTTCCAAATGCATTCTAAATTTCTTGAAGTTTTTGTAATTTGTTTTCTTGAAAAATTGAATAAATTTGTAACAAATACTCTAAAAATGTGATAAATGTAGCCTTAGATTGATCATATAAAAATGGAGCAAACAGTCGGAAAATGTAGCAAATTGTTGGAAAATATTTAAAAATGACAGAAATTTTGGAAAATCATTGAAAATTTTAGCAAGTCATTTAAAAATGTTGCTTATTAGCTGAAAACGTAAAAATAAACATTCAGACAGAATATTCAGAAAATCAATTGGAAATTTTAGCAAAATTGTCTGAAAATGTAAAAACATATTTGAAAATAGTGCAACTCGTTTGATAATGGATTGAAATATCTGAATATGTTTCAAATGGTTTTAAAAAGCAGGAAATTGCTTGAAAATTTTAAAAATTATCTGTTTATTAAATTTTATTCAAAAATGTAGCAAATCGTTTAAAAATGTTGCAAATCATCTGAAATTTCAGACAAATATAATTAAAAATTGTTATTAGTAAAAATTGTATTAGAATATTGCAAATGATCTGAAAATTTAGAAAATCATTTAAAAATATTGCAGATTGTCCGAAAGTGTGAAAAATATAGAAAAATTGTGTAAAAACTTAGGAAATTATTTATAAATAATGAAAATTGTATGACAATGTATAAATTCATCTAAAAATGGTGAAAAGTGTAGAAAATTTAAAAAATCATTCAAAAATGTTGCGGATTGTCCGGAAGTGTAAAATATGTAGAAAATTTGTATAAAAGTGTAGAAAATTATCTAAAAATATTGAAAAATATCTGACAGTGTATAAAATCATTATAAATGTTGCAAATAGTCTGAAATATCAGAAAATTTAAAATTTTTGCAAACTTTCTAAAAATGGAAAAAAATGTATTAGAATTCTCCAAATGGTTTGATAATTTCGTGAATTATTCAAAAAAATTGCAGATTGTCCAGAAGTGTAAAAAAAATTGAGAATGTGTAAAAATGTAGAAAATTATTTAAAAATATTGCAGATTGACGGGAAGTATGAAACATGTAGCGAATTATTTGAAAATATTGTAAATTGTCTGAAAATGTATAAAATTATCCAAAAATGTTGCAAATCGTCTAAAAATGATGTAAAAAAGTTGTAAAGTAAATAAAAAAATTGTTTAAATTTGCATGACAATGTATAAAATTAAAATGTAAAAACATTGTCTGCAAATGTTATATACTTTATTTGAAAATTATCTGAAAATTGAGTAAATGATATAAATTGCCTATATATTACAAACCTAGTGCAAAAATATCTTTTTATGTACACATTTTTTTAAGAATTACAAGTTTAGAAAAATACTCTAAAATTCCATATTACATATTTATGTCAATCCCCTAAATTAAATCTTGCATTAAATATTGTATGAAAAAATTAAAAAAAACTAACATAACCCAAAAACTTCATCATCAAATTAAATATCCGACTTTTGTTTCATACAATAACATCAGTTGCTTTTGTTGATTTGCATCTGTTTCGAAAAAATGCGTTAGAACACTCTCATGTTTATGATTTTGATTAAAAAACTCTGCAAAAAATTAAAAACACAAACAAAAAATATAATTCATTTCGCACCGAGTCGAATTTCCAATCAATCACTCTTGTACTCCGAAAATAATGGAAAATAAATATTTTTGTAATGAAAATTTGAATGGTAATTGAATATTTTATAATATTCTAATTATTTTTTTTTTAATTGTTTATACTTAGTTTTATCATAAACTACACACTGTTGGTATATAAATATATTTCAAAATTTTATCTGCGTTATAAAGAGGGTTCCTTACTAAATATTTTGGTTGTTGCTAAGCAGTCAGGGGCATTTCTCAGGTTGTTAAAAAGAAAATCTAACCTAGAAACTGCAAAAATGTCAACAAAAACGATGTTAGATAACAGGGTCTTTCTGACCCAGCTTCATAACATACGAGTAACGTTGCAGTTTATGTGCAAAACGCCTGAATGTACAGCAAATACGTGACTTTTTGACAGTATTCATTATGATTCAGTAGCATAATAAATCTACTTATAAATTATAAACTGGCATTTACAAATCGCTTTTAATTATATCCAAACTAAACAATTAATTTAATTAATTTAATTAAAGATGAGTGTTTATTGGCAACTATTCGATAATTTATCTTTCGTAAACAAACTGTTAAATGTTGAAGTTTATGTTTAACAGGCTGTTAACGATTTTATAAGTCTTTGATGTTGAAAGAGAATATACAGACAGTCAATGTCTGTTTATCATTAGGACTGTTGACATTAGATTTATTTTCGAATTTTAAAATAGAGACGTAGAGTTGTTTGAAGTAAGGACAACTTTAATATTATAAGATCGACTTATATAAAAATATATGTATAAATTTAAATAGAATTATTTAGGGCAGGTGAACGTCTTTCTGTTTTGTTAAATAATAATTACATTTTGGTCAAATCTCAAATTTAAATGATTCAAAGAGTCATAATTCATCTTCAAAAACTTTTTTTTTTTTTTAATTTCAATAATTATTACAACTGCTAAATTATTAACATCAAGTAATATTGATAAATAATAGCATAAATTTAAACAAATAAAAAAGCAAAGTATAAAATTTACATGAAAATAATATCCGTGATATGATTTGATATAAAATATTAGCAAATAATAATAAAAAAAAAATGATAAATAATATAAATAAAATTTCTGAATGATAAAATAAATAATAATCTTCAAAAACTTGATTTGTATTTTATGCATTTTCCCTGTTTCTTTCTCTTATTAAATTGAATATATGTAATTATTCTGTTTAATTACTAATTTTTAACTTAAGTTCTTCCTAAAATATGAAAATTACGGTTTATACAAAAATCGACATTTCAGAAAACCGGTTTTAGAATTTTAATTTTACTAAAAACCGGTTTTAACCGGTTTTCAAATTTTATATAGAAGATAATTTTTTGCTCGAATATTCTATAATTTATCCGTAAATTTAGTGTGATTTATAGCAGTATTTGACTGAATTTATTTATTGTTCAATTTTTTGGATACTAAGCAAAATTATTTTAATTTTAATTAGTATAACAAAAAAATAATAGTTTATTTTGATTAATTAACTTTGAAAACAATTATTCGTTATTAATGCATCATTTTCACATATAAGAATGAAAATATTTTTATGATAGTGGAAGGAAAGTTTTCGAATGAATAAAAATATTACATTTTTAAATAAAAAACATTCCTTAAATTAATATTAGATACATATTGATACAAACTTGTTAATATCAATTTTAGTTTCAAAAACAATTAAGCTAAACTCGGGTATTGTCTGTTCCAAGCAATTTTAATTAGTTAATTTTAAACATTTTAACTGTTTTTTGTTTATAAAAATATGATTTAAAAAAAACTGAGATCATCTATCGAATTGCTACTAGACGTGTCCTTTGTTTACTCACAAAATTTTCTGAAATAGCAAATAATCTCATACTTGCGATCAGAATATGCTTTATTGTTTTTAAAGCTTGATATAATAATCCCAAGTTTTTTGTTTTTTTATTTGTGAATTCTAAGGTTTAAAACTCTTTTTCTTAAGTTTGAGTATATTAAGTTACTTTTTCAAGAAGAAGTCACACTGATTCAAATTACTATATACACTGGTATAAAAATCTAAATTATTATATACAAAACCTTTCTGTAAACTATTGCAGACTGATAAGATAGCAAATGTTATTGAACATTGTTATTTTATGATTTCAAGAATCATAAAAAAAACGCTTTCATCTATCTTCTATATTTGACTATATTTGTCATTTTCTATTTCTACAATGAAAACCGACTTTGTTCACAAAAAAACAGTTTTCGAATTCAATAATTTTCGCCAAAAAAACCGGTTTTTGAAAACCGACAAACGCTAGTGGAAATACATTTTGAGGCTGTAATGTCAATATAGCACTGATTTTTATCGAAATCCGGCCCTGTACTTTGACTCTCATTAACCGGCCGCGGCGGGTCGTAAGTCGCCCCTTAATCCGCGCCGAGTTACAGCCTCGGCCGCCCTAATATTTTATATGGTGGATGATAAAACCAACTAACCGATTTGGTTCATAAATGATTCTCAATCTTATCAAAAACCTCAAAACAATATTAACTAGTTGTAAGTTGCA